AAGAATTAAGTTAAATAAATGATACAGTACTTTTTCAGAAAAGACCAGCATTTTTCTAAGTGACCTCGTTATAGATTTTTCTAGTTTTTACTTAGAAGTCATTGAAAAAAACAATGAACAATGTAAACAGCCCTTAATAGAAGTTTTTTTGTTTTGTTGTTGTTTTCTTTCCTTTAGAGTAAGAATGATGATGGTGATGATGGTGATGGTGATGATGGTGATGATAGTGAAGTTTTGGACAGAAGAGTCTTTTTCTATTACTGAGATTTCCATGAGGAAGGATGAATGCTYCCAGCCTCTTCTTGCTTTATGCCTTAAGTGGTAGAAGGGCAAGGTGGGTGGCAGCCATGATCCGCAGCATTCCTCAACATGTCAGTCTGATAGAAGGAAATCTATCAATGGTCCTGGGCATGAGGAATTTGGTCTCCTCTCTCTCTCTCTCTCTCTCTCTCTCTCTCTCTCTGTGTGTGTGTGTGTGTGTGTGTGTGTGTGTCTGGAATTGTAGGAGACAGTGACATGAAGTAGTGGGCTGGCTTAGTCAAAGTATCCAGGTCTGGCTATACTAAGGGTGGACTTTTAAGTTTAAACTCAATAATCCAGGAAGGCTCATGGGGCCTGCTTAAACTCAGGCCAAGTGAGTGTAGGGTCACTCAAAGCACAATGTGGTTTGGATCAGGCCTCCCTCGTCTAATAWTTAAGATATGCTTGTGATTTTTAAGGATTGTAGAAGGACAAAGAGGTCCAAGAGTAAGCAGGAAAATAATTAAGAGTATAGTGTTACAGAAGCCCAGGTAAGAATGTATTAAGGAATGATTTCTTAATTTAATAGACCATTTGCACATGTGAAATTGGCATAGTTAAATCCAAACTGAAGGTTTGAAAAATGGAGGTTGGCAAGGAAGCAAAGAAAGCAAGTCTTAGCCAGCGGCTCGGTCAGATGTATAACAATTCTTTTAAAAAATGTAAGGAAAAAACAGTGGTGATTTTATTTATTTTCCTTTTTAGAAGAGGATTGTTATGCTCATACRCTGAAGAAACCAATGTAATCAATGACTAAAGATGTGGGAAGACGAGGGTAAGGAAAACCTGAGGGGAGAGCTGGTAGAAAGAAATGTGAAAGGCAAAAAGAGTAGAGAACTGGAGATCATGTCAGACTCTTCACTCAAGTTGGAGATAATGCCATTGTAGAATGAGAAGACAGGGCCATGGTGGGACAGGTGGTGGGGTACAGAATCCATTTATTTCTATGGATCAGGGTTTGCCTGGTAGTTCTGTCAGAAGGGACTCTGGATCTTCCTCTTTTGTTTGATCATCATAGTTGATGGCTTCTGTTACCTAGCTCAAGGTGGCTGCTGGATCTCTATTATCACATCCACAAGCACTGGCTAGAAAGACAAAAAGCAGAAAAAGCTCTTTCCGGTGTCAGCAGGTTTCTTTGAGCAGCCTTTCTGGAAATACTTGACAAAATTTATACTTTCATATATTTGGGTATGTAAGGTACATCTATCTACAAAGAAGGATGGCAAATGTCTCCCCCCACCTCCAATGTAATCAGCAAAATGTCAGGGCTTTTGTGCTAATGGAGGGTGAGATGCTATGGCTGTAGGCAATCATCAGTCTCTGACACAGACATSGTAGGAATCTGGTGAGGTCAATTACTTTAGTATTGTGACTTTTGTCTAGTAAGACTGCTCATGTTATCATGAGCCAGGCCCGTGGGCTGAAGTGACTGTTATCAATAAGAAAATGAACAAATCCAGGATACAAGTAAAAATACTGCTCAAGTCCTGATACCAAGGCCCAGGCTGGACTAAAAAAGGGCAATACAAATTTAAGGGTCTGTAGGTCACAGAGGCTAAAGAGTTGAACAAGATTGGGAAATGTTTGGGAAAATGATTAGAAAAGGAAATTTTGAGATGACAGAGGTTAGGCAATTACAAACAGCAGAAGTATGAAGTTGGCTGTACTTAGCTGGATGGAAAATARGTTATTATAGTTGATGCTAGGAGATCTGAGAATCCAGCTAGAAGGGTCATTGATAAAGATGATATCTGGAGAGCAAAGTGGAAAGGAACATTTTAGGAATTGGAAACCACCTATTTATCAACTCAACTGTCAGCAGAMTGAGAAGGACTAGTGGGGTATGGGTATACCTACAAATGAGAAGAGGCTTTTGCAATACCATAGGAAAATATCAAAGGCAGATGCTTACTGGGTACTTGCTATGTGGCGATTAAAAACATTTTTACATGAAAATTCTTAAACGAYTGTGAAACAATTTTAAATTGTCAGAAAAGTTGGAAGGGTATGAAAAGAATTCCTTTACCCACCTCCCTCAGTTCCTCTATTGTTGGTGTGTAATGTAACCATGGTCTTGGTGAAAACTAGAAAACTGACCAAGTGCAATAACTTCACTTAGACTTCTGAAGTTCTCACTAGTGTTCGTTTCCTATTGCCAGATGCCACCCAGGGTATGCCTCTTTAGTCTCCTCTGATCTTTGACAATTTCTTGGCCTCTCTTTATCTCTTTCATGACCTTAACATTTACAGGATGCTCTCAGGAATTTTGTGGAAGGTCCCTAAATTTGGCTTTGTCTGATTTTTTTTATGCTTAGACTGTTTTTTGTTTTTTTTTTTTTTAAACTTGATCACTTGGTTAAAATAGTGTTAGATTTCAACAACGTAAAGTTTTTATTTTTTCCTCATCTGTACTCTTACGTTTTGGAAGCAAGTAACTGAGTCTAAGTTAACTTCAAGAAGTTGGTGGAACCAAGGTCCACATTTTGGAGGGTAGAGTAGCTAAAGAAATTATTGGGGATTTTTCCAAGGGAATGATTTTTTTCTTTCCTATTTTTTTTCCAGGCATTTACTTAAATAAGGATGTATTAATGAACATTTTATTTTTTAGATTGTAATCTGATACTATCATGATGTTTTGTTGCTCAAATTAATATAGTTTTGGCCACTGAGAGCCAAGTATTTTTACATAAATTTGTTGAATCCTCCAACAATCTAGTGAAATAGGTATTAACTATTATTCTCCTTTTGTAAAAAAGGAAACTCAGGTTCAGGGAATTKAAGAAACTTTTCTACTGATTCATTTCTTGCATGTGTTGGAGCCAGGGTTTGCCTCTCATAGTCTCACTCCAGTCCATGTGATCAGCCTTGTTAAATACTCTGCAAGGAAAAGGATGCTCCACAAATGCCAGAGGTGAGACAGCTTATCACCTCCTTTTACAGGTAAGGTAACATTTGAGGGTGTTCCTCTTAGAGATAGTAGCTGCAGAATAGATAAGTATGCACAGAAAGATCATGAATAGTCAAAACTAAGCCTCTTGCCAGATGGGAAGAGGGAAGAGAGACTAACAGAGGGGCAGGGAAGGAATGTTAGGAGTTTGAAGGACAAATAGTATCATGAAACCTAAAGGAAGAAAAATGTTCTTTAAAGTGAAATCTGGTTGCAGGGCCATAGAAAATCAGTCTATGGTAAAAAAAGAAAATTTTAAAAAACCCAAAAAATCAGATTTAGGGTGACCAAAACTGTTTCTCAGAAAGGAGTCATAAGGTAATTTAGTCAAGAAAAGGGATGGAGTCCCAAGTGTATTTTCCCCAGGAAGAGGGAGACCTRTACACACAGACTAGGAAGAAGTATGAAGAAGCTATTTGCATGAGAATGAGAAAGGAAGGGAGAGCCAAAGAGATGAAGGAGTTTGGAGATGAAYGTACAGACAGATTTTAGATGAACCTCTCCATGTTATTACCCAAACTGGAAGCACGGACATCTGCAGAGTATTAGAGAAGTATCACCCAGTCCTGTGGATGGCCAACACTACTGGGTCAGTGTTTGGCGGACTTGGTGAGCTGGGGCCAAGCTGGAGTTGTTCATGGTTGAGGGAAGCCACTGGGTTGAGGGCAAGCAGAGATCAGAAACAGATTATGGTGTTGCATTGCTCAAAATCAGGGATCCACTGTGAGAAATGAGATGTGAGATGATTTTGTTGTGTGARTACCACTAAGTATACTTATTTAGATGGTATAGCCCACTACACATGTGTAATAAATGCAATCTGTTGCTGACTGAAACACTGTTATGCAGTGCCTGTTTCTGGAATTTTTTTTTTTTTTTTTTACTTTTTCCCCCCTTCAGACCAAATAGTTAAAAACAAATGGTTTTGCATACATATGACCTTGGGTCCAATTTCTAGTATCACAGAAACAAAACAAAATAAAACAAAAAGCCACCAAATGCCTGAAAACCCTGAATATTTTAGGTAATTCTTAAAAGACAGTGTTAGTCTTTCTAAAATGTTCTCCAATAAGTGTGATGTTAACTTATGATCTGGTTTTTGAGAGAAATACCTGAAGGGACACACATAAAACTAAAGTAAAACTAATTGTTACTGGAATGAAAACTTTGCTTATCTCAGGAATTATTCTTCAATGAATTCCAATTTCAGAATTCTTGGAGACTGTTTAGCAGTTATGAACTTAAGGTCAAGGTTTCTGTGTCATTTATATTCGTTAACAATAAAGCCCTAGGTTTGGGCAATATTTTTTCTAAAGCAAGCATAAAATGTACTTAAAAAGGGTTATTTCAAATKTTTTAGAAGTATTCTTAAATTCTTATTTATTAAAATGGGGTTTTGGATTTTAGTCTTAGATCCTAATGCCACTACATTTATAACAATGGCAATACAATGATTTTTAAAAATGCTGTCCATTTCACAGGCATTTTAACTTATGAAGTTATTGAAAGTTTGTTTTTTTATATTTAAGTAAAGATCAAAATATCTAGGGGCAGGATTGGATAAGAAATTTATGAATTACTGACTTAACACATCCTTAAATATTGTAGGCTACCTTTGTCTAATGTAGTTATAACACAATACTACACTGTCTGAAATCATTTCCTTTATGAGAACCAGAAAGAAGAATTTACATAAAAACATTATTCATACTTGGTGACTGTTTTATTATCATATATATTATTATACACAACTTTGATAGGAAGGATAGTTATAAATCATACTCTAAACAAAAATCTATGCATGGCTTATGTAAGCAGTAATAGTTTGAAGGATAGAGAAAAGCCATGAAAATGTTCACCCAAAATTGATTAATAGTGAAAAATGCTAGTTTGTACATATAATGATTGAAAAGCTTCATAATACATTGGAACACTTATAAATCTTCAGGTACCATAAGAACAACCCGGTATAGGAAAGCTCAAATTTGACAGTCACATCCCTAGATGGGTACATCATCTCAATACAGCAGTTAGCATTCTTTCTTTCTTTGGCACTTAGCAATACAGACAAAGGTATATTTGGTTTAATGTGATTTTATTATTCTTAAATTTCAGTTATTTTATATAGTTAAAAATATACAATACTGCTTTAAAAACTTTAAATTTTATAAGTGTATAGTTGATTATCATCATATTCACAATTTTAAAAGCCTATTTTTTTCAACTAAACAATTCATCCCATACATGTGAAAGAGACTAACAAAAAATAGTTTATAAGAAGACTTCAATGAGAAGTTTAAACATAAAAATAGAATATTAATCTAGAACACTGGTCTAAATCCTTAGTGATACYTCTGGCTGAAACAAATTATGAAATGTTTAGACATATTTTTTAACATTTAAATTAATCCTATAAATTCAAAATTGTGACTTAAAAAGTTTAGAATTGAAGAGATTTTGTTTGAAGCCTTATTTATATACATTAATTTACTAAAAAAAGAGAAAAGAAATGAAAAATAATCTATTCTAATACTACATTTAAGTTTGAGATTCCATCGGATTTTAAAATAATGTATGCACAATGTTTTTACAACCTTCAGGAGTTATATAAAAACAAAGCAAAAGAAGAATGGCAGATAGTAGCATTTTTTCCTTTAAATCATTTGAGGACAGTAAAATTGGAAGGGTGATTAAATTTGCTTTATGGAATACAGGCCATGATAGCATAAAAACAACCTAATGTTTAAAGGTAAACAAACTGTGTGGCTTTTTCTTAATATCAACTTAAACATTAAATTCATTATTTAATGTAAGAAGATACACTGATAAAATATGTAAAGCCCAAACAAATTATTTATGTGCATATATAAGGTATTCTTATATGAAAAKTATTTTACAAATAATTTTGTTCATCATATCTACACAATGCAACATTCATTTCACTCTTTACAATACTTTGCACCAAACATTGCTATCTTCAATCTTAACATTCCTCAAATATGAGGAAAAACAAACCGTTTCCACTGTTCTAAAAGTGAAATTTATAAAGTCAATATATCATAAAGGATTACAGATCTAAGATAGTTTTTAAAGACATTTATACACATTGAAATGAGTGCTTTGCTTAATTTAATTAAAAAGCTAGACATAAAGCTCTTCTCTTCATTTCGATTCAATAAACATGGTTACATTTAACAGCAATTTTTTTTCACACTGAGACATTAACTATCATTGTGGAGACTTTAGTAAAGGTATAAACAGTGATTATCTTTTTGGAAAACACTKTTGAAATATAAGTGCTACAGTCTTAATATTTATATAATAATTAAGAAATAATTTGAAAAGACATTTTACTTTCAAAATTTTTCAACATAAGGCACATAGCAATATTTAGTCTAGAAACAACTAGATTACATAATAAATAATTATCTTTTCAAATATTATTTACCCTCTACCTGAAAATAGAGGGTGAGTAGTGCAGTAAAACATGCCTGAATTACTTAAAATKATTTGATTTAGGAAACAAATAATATTTATGTGCCAAAAGAATGTTATTAGTTTAAAAAAGGAAAGGAAYATTTATATAAAATATACATCCTACAGTGTTATAGGTAGGAAAAAATGTGAGGCACTTAGATTAACAGTGTAGGAGGAGAGCATTGAGATTATCTATTTGTAAAGCACCAAACCATTTATTTCAACATCTGAGATAAAAAAGCAGAGGCTAAAAATATAGGGAAATAGGTTAGTCTTGTAACTTTGTACTTAGTCTACTAATGAGAACCCAGAGTTCAAACTGAAAGTGTTTCATTTTTATTCTGACAAATAATTTACATAAAGTTTTCTAATTTGAGAATATCAAAGTTCCCCTGAATAAGTTTTGTGTCTTCTGCAGTGCTCAGGTGATATGAAACATAGATGGCATCTCACTACTCTGTGGCACCACACTTTCTATTGTAATGATGATAATCTACCACATTGATATGTTTTTAAAACTCCTTTTGTAAAAACAAAGATTAAAATTTGGTTTGGAATATCAGTGCGAACAACATGCATCAGTGCCTCCATGTGAACTTGCTGATGCCCAACATTTACAGTTTTATTGTTCTATGATCCTTCACAAATTAATCTGATCCAAAAATTCAGGTGAAAATTGGACTTGGCATTATAGGAATCCACCAGGTGGCAAGTCAGGGAAAGGTCTGGCTTCTAATGGATGATGAAGTGGCTGCAGATGAGTGGTGGTCTGAGCATTACTTAAGTTGTTTAATTCAGCTGGATATGTCTCATTTAAAACACCTCCATTCTGAAACTGAAAACAAAAACAGTATTGCAACTTATTAGGCAAGATCTTYCAAATGTCTTAAGCCATTTAATAACACATTAATATGTATTAAAAAACAGTCCTGCATATTGTTAAACTTCAAATTCCTTTACYACTGCTGAATTTTAAATCTTCCATTCAGTGAAGACATGCTGAGAATATATTGCATATATTAGTTATATTCATAACCTTTTGGTTTTCCCATTAATTTGTCAAGAAATTTTGAAGGTGGTACAGATGAGTGATACAACTGTCTCACTTAGGATTGCCTTTGGGTTAGACAGGAATTGTTGGGTCAAAGATTAACAGTCATGAATCACATTAAATATTCTCTGTCACAGTAGGTTTGCATTGACCAGACTTCATCTCAGTAGACTATATGATCAATTAATTTATTATATACASGATTGCAGGTGACCTAGGATTTTTCCAAAAATAGTTCTTGTGGAGAGTGGACAGGTCCCTGATCATTGGCTGATCCTGCGGTATTGGCAAAAGCCAAGCTTGGGAAACATTGCTTGCCAAAAGGCAAGGATAACAGCCCGGAGACTCTGCTCTGATGCTTAACAGTTATCAGACATTCCAGTACAATGGGTTTCCTAGGTGCAGCAGGACAATAGCAGGATGTTCCTAACACTGTATGAAACAGGATAGCTGCAAAAATGTTTCTTGCTCTGTAACTTCTTAGTGCACAAAGAAGCCTCTTGATAACTCACAAGCCATGAGCAATTTACAATGTTAAAATGCCCCTATAGCTTAACTTCTGATTTTGAGACCATATATACTTCTGGATCACTATTCCTCCAYCAGAAGGATGATCTTAGCTTTGCTTAAAAACGTCTCTGTGTTTTCCTCCATCTCCCATCTCCCCTACTCAAGATCCTTTGTGGATGCTGCACGGGGTGTGTCAAATTCTGATTTTCAAAAGCTTTTTCAATATTCTAAAAATAATACATCATGTGTATGATTTGCTTAACCATTATTTCTGATTTGTAATATGTTTTTAATTAGTAAATACCACTAAAAGCATTGTCCCAATTACAGATCAAGTTACCTATCAAACAGAAATGCTTYTTCCTCGTCTTTTTACACTAAAACTAGTCCCATGCCTAGAACTGCTATTACAAATTCAAAGAGAAAAAAGAAAGGAATGAAGGACATTGAACTACATAGTTCTCTACAGTTTTATAAACTCATATTTATAAGTTTCATATTTTTGGGGGGTTATATTTTAATACATTCATATAATGCATAATGATCAAATAAGGGCAATGAGGATATCCAGTACCTTAAAAAATATCATTTATTTATAATGAAAACATTTGAAGTCCTTCTAGCTATTTTGAAGTTTAGAATARATTATTGTTAATTAAGTCACCCTACTGTGCTACAGAACACCAGAACTTATTCCTCTAATCTATCGATTTGTACATAATAACCTAGCCTCCTGTCCTGGCCTCTGGTAACCTCTAYTCCACTCTCTACTTCTATGAAATCAATACTTTCAGTTTCCCTATGTGACTGCAATCATGTGGTATGTGTCATCCTATGTCTGGCTTTTTTCACTTAGCATAATGTCTTCCAGTTTCATTCATGTTGACACAAATGACAAAATTTTATCCTTTTTATAGCTGAAAAATATGCCATTGTGTATATAAACCACAGAATAAGAACTAAAAAAATCTTTACTATCATTTTCTATTAAAAAGTTCATATATAATTAAACTGAATGTATGAAAAAAGCCAGATAAAACAATTAGAGATAAAGATTCAAGTCACATTTATAAACTGTTACATTCAAAATATGTAGTGAAGAGAGGTCAGTGAACTTAACTGTAGTCAAGATATTTTTCAAAACTAACTTAGATATACTTTTAAATGAACTAAATATTTTATACACACACACATGTTGTAAATGGACATAATATTTTTATTTTATATATTTATTTTTATGTGGTGCTAAGGATCGAACCCAGGACCTCACATAATGCTAGGCAAGTGCTCTACCACCCCAGGCCCCATGAACCAAATATTTTGTAACAGAAAGGCATTAATGGAGACATATTCATGGATAGTCAGAGAGTAGATGTTATCATCARTATTAATTAWTTTTTTWAAAAAATAACCATTTTTTAATTTAAAGTGTATTTGCTGCTAGAAGGGTTCTAATGACATATCTGAACTATGAATCAAACTTGATTCACATGACAAAAAGCCAACTGGTTTACTTTTTCAAGAATGTGGGCAGGGACAACAAGATAAAATTATATCACAGATATAATTAGAAATTCTATCTCCAAAAACATAGCAGATAATAGATTAAAATCAGGAATTGATGTAAAAAATGTTAACTTACATCTATTTATTTATAAGGTAGGGAGAATCATGGAAAGGGTTTATTTGGCTCTATAAAACCCTTACCTTGTTTAAAAATGCCCGTGGGCCTGGAATTGTTGGATTGTATTGCATCTGATCCACATGGGTGTGCTGAGGATCTGGCTGGCACTGATACATTGACATGGCCCCAGCATAACATGTCTGAGGAGTTGTTATGGTTGACTGCAGATTCATTCCATGCTTTTGGTTTTCAGGAACTTGTAAACAAGTGACAAAATCTTCCAAATTAGAAGTAGAAGGGTATAAGGACGGCTCAAAATTTCCTACAGGAAAGTCCAACTGTGTACACTTGGAATGCTGTGGTAACACAGGCTGATTACAGGGAACAAAGTTCTGTGTATAAGGCATAGTGTCTATGTCAGATTTGTAGGAGAACTCTTGACTGGCCCCATGTAAGTCTGAAAAGACATTGTATTGTTGTAGGTCTTGCTGAGGACAACTGCAAGGCACAGGCTGGTTAGAGTTCCAATTTGCAAACATGCCATTAACTTGCATATGCTTCATTTTCTGACACAGTTGTTGTTGTGGCTCTGCTACTACTTGCTTTTGGTGGTGCTGTAGATGCTGCTGCTGTTCTAACTGTAGGTGTTCCTGTACCATACAACTTGGGTTCAGAGCCACAGACTGTTGTTGTTGGTAACCAGAACTCAGGAAGGTAGGCTTATTTAAAGAATCTTGGACATATGTTAGGATTTCATCTGTTATGTCAATGTCTCTAAAGTCAACCTCACCAGAAGAGTCAGTTCTGAAAAATTCCTCATTCTGCATGCATTTGATATCTTCAAAATCAATGCCTAGGTTTTTCATAATACTGTATAATTCATTATTTTTATTATCTGGAAAGAGCCCTGTGTGAACTCCAGAAACTGTTGGGTTCATTTCCTGAGAATGTCCAATTTGCTCATGTTTTAGGATATTATCATTTCCCACTGTAATGATATTGCCTTGCGAATTACTGCATTCACTCACAGGTTCATTAAAAAAATTTCTTTCAAAAGGTACAGTACTCGAAGCAGGATAGTGATAAATAGATTCATCTTGTTGCATCATGGCATACAGGATGGAACTGGGATGCAGAGAATCCTTATTTGGAGTTGATGTGGTAGCACAGTCTTTTCCACTAGTGCTGGTTTTATTCCTTATTGGCAAGGCATCCATTATGGGAGGAACAGGGTTGGTAATCTCGTACAACATAGCTTCTCCAGWRGTAAACATAAAAGGCAGCATCATATTTCGTTTTCGTAAGTGCTCCCTTCCTTCTTCTTCTCTAAAATTGTATATAAGAAAGTCTGCATATATTAGGAAGAGTTTTATCATAAACATTTTAATGAAGACATCAGAAAAGATTAATAGCAAGTAAAGCATACTATAACTGAGTTTAACAGGAGGTAACATGGACTTTATTATTTTGATCTAAATTATTCTTATGACTGATGCTATAATGTTGTTTCTTGGACAAATATATTTAAATAATTTAGATTTCCCAAAAAAACTTAGTGTAGTAGTTAATTCCATGCTCATGTGACATGCCTAACTTGATATCCTGCAGAAAAAAATAAACTTTTGTATTCAAAAATGTAAAAACAAACTGGAACAATTTAGAATCTGAGGACAGGCATGTCTAAATAAAACAAAACAAAGAAGCACTAAAGAAAAAGACTGGTACAACTGGCAATAAGAAAACCAAAACTTTTCATATTTTTGCAAAACAATTCATAAATCAAGTTATATAGTCAGAGAAATATTTTAACATATACATGTATTTATAATTTAATATATAAATACAAAATATCATATTTAGCATAGAGAGCTTCAGTGTATCTGAGAGGCAAACAATTCAGAAGAAAAACTGGCAAAAACTGGCAATTCATAAAAAAAAAGTCCTAGAAAAATATGAAGAGATGCCCTGCTMATTAGTAATAAGGAAATGAAAACAACTAATCTCTTAATAATTGATAGAACACACACAAAATATTAACAAATGTACCAAAAGGCAAGATGAACAAACTAGATCACTGAAACATAAAGAGCACCATACTCCTAAACAGTGGACCATGGGTTGTTTACAAGAGCACATGGAATATTTCAGCAACACGGACCATATTCTAGAGAACAGAGAATAAAGCCATAACATATTTCAAAGGACTGAAATCCACTCAGAGAATGTTCTGACTACATTGAATGTTCTGACTACATTGAATTAAGCTAAAAGTCAATTATAAAACAACAGCTAGAAAAGTCCCCTAATGCCAAATACCACAATAATACTATATTTTTAAATAACCYATGAATAAAAAAGTGAAAATTAGCAAAAATATTTTCAATTTAACAATAAAAATAAGAAAAAAATAATAATGAGTAGACATAATGAAATGGAAAACAAATGTATAATAGGCCAAATCAACAAGCAAAAGTTAAATCCTGGAAAAGGATGGTCTTCTAGCAATATTAATTGAGGGGCAAATATTAATTTGCATACAAATATTAATTTGTATAGGTATATACATACTCATGTATTTATATAAGTACATAAATACATTTATACATTCATCATGTTCATGGGATGTAAGACTATATTATAAAGATATTAATTTTACCCAAAATGATCTATAATTTCAATATCATCCCAAAGTTCCAACAGATTTTTTGGTGGGACTTGACAACTGATTTCSGAAATGTATATGGAAATAGAAAGGGTAAAGAAGAGCAAAGGCAATTTTGAAAAATAATAATAAAAGCTAAATAAGCAGGTATCAAAACTTATAATAAAGTTAGAATAATTAGGGCAATATCATGGCACAAATAGAAAACTAGAYCAATGGAACTAGACCAAGAAATTTTAGAAAAAGAACACAAATAAAATTCTSTGATCAATATGCAGTGTAGTAGGGAAAAGTCAACCTGTTAATAACTGTCTTTTCAATAAATGTTACTTATCAATTTGATATACATAAAAGAACAAATCATCTTTATCATTACCTCAAGCATATACAGAAAGCAAGTCTACAGAGTGGGAGAAACATCTGCAATGTAAATATTTAACAAGGGACTCATTTATAGATTACATAAAAACTTTCAAATCACTGTTTAAAGAATACATTCTAAAGCAAGCATTGTATTTACAGAGGGCACTAGGTTTCACCTTTCCTTCTTAAGCCCAGGAAAACTCAGGAGTTTGTTTTTTCTACAGTGTTCCTTGTTCAGCTGTTCAATAAAGTGTATTGATCCTGTTTTCTCAATGTTTCTCACCTGTGCCCTCTTTTTTCTCTACATATTATTTTAGCTTTTCAATGATGATTTCCAGACTCATTTGTCTTAGAATTATTTTAAGTTTTCATTTAAGAGAACTTATAAACCAAGTTATTGTCAAAAAATGAAATTAGGAGATTTCTMAGTCTTTGTACTTACGTTAGAGGTCTCTGGGTTGAGATGATATAATCTGGTCTTCCATTTTTATAAACTAAGCGTGCGTTGGACTGGACCCATGTCCATCCATTGTGTTTTGTAAGAAGCCTGAAAACTGTCATGCCACTTTCTCCAGTCTTAATCACTTAAATAAGATTTAAAAATCAAGTTATCAAACTCCAAACCAATACATTAAAGATAATTTCCGAAACAAGGCCTCTCTGACGTCTTTCTGGATATATTTCATTTATCACTAATTCTGAAACATATCTTGACAAATTTTAAAGGCTTAAAAACAGTTCTTTAGACCGTTTTGCTCTTGCTCCAGACTAAACATTTGAAATGTTGAAGGGAAGGGTAAGTACCAGTTGAAAGACTTCAGTACCACATGCAAGTCTAGAGAGCAGCTTGTTAGGGAAAAAAGATGAAAAAAATAATTTCATTTTAAATAAGGAATGTTTTCCAGTGGCTCAATACTTGACAATTTTTAAATTTAAATCTATATTAACATAGATTATGAATTATTAATGCCATTTAAAAATTCCTGAGCAAAACTTCATGGGCCAAATATGTCCGTTTTTGTAGTAATTAAACAGTGTTCCTGTACGGCAGCTGTACAGGAGTTAATAAACAAAAAGTGTAACTCTCATTAATCAAAATAATATTAAGCAGTAGTTTATTCAAATAGTTTCCTTAAATATGGTCCCTAATGTAATAGTTTAAACATGCACTATGATATATTTTTTTCAGGTTTATTGGTAAGGAATTACAACTTACTCCTAATATGTAATTCGGCACAATAAAGCATATCACCAGCATGAAYAAACTGATATCCTGATCCTCTTGAACACAGCTCTGCTTCAGTATAGCCTAAAATAATCTGTCCTCTGTTAAAAAAAATGTAGAATAAGAATGAGTTAAAATTTAATATAAGTAATCAGGATAAATTGGTTATATGCTCTTTTCTAGAATATTCTTTAYTTGACATTTAGAATTTCACTTTAGTAGGTAGAAAAAATTAACCACATCTATCTAAATTTGCTCTCTTGCTCACAGTCATAAATTTAGGTTTTAGCCTGTTTTCTTCTGGATAAACAATGAAAACTAGTACAGCTAAAAGTGAATCTAATAGATCAGACTGTAAAGGTAAAACAAAGTCTTCAGTAAAAATCTAGAATGCTAACACTGGAAGTGCTAACACTTCACTTTGGGAGGACAAGATTTGTCAAATTACCTCTCTGCATTTGCATACTAGAGGAGAAAAGCACTGACAGTGTTGACATGATATCTGAATGCCTAATATCATTCTACTACATAATTTTTAGAAAACTACTAAGCTTCTAGAGATAAAAAWTGTAAAAGAAATGACAAATGTCATCAGAAGAATGAACCCTGCAAGTAAAGTACCTTACTTTAATAGGATACACACAAAAAAGTGTAATAATAATGGCTAATACAATAAACAAATAATATTATAACCTACATTGAAACAAAACATACATTTGATGAAATAAAAGTAGAAAAGTTGTTTTACTCACTTGGCATCACAACCAGTAGGTGTAAAGTCTAGTTTGTGTTTGGTTCTAAAGAYGAAATTTTTGGTTCGAATTTCAAGTATGGATGGCGGTTGAAGTGGAGTAGCTATTGCAAACAAAGCCAACTGAGGAGGAAGTATTGACCCATCTTTCCCTTTCTTGTTCTGTCCATGAAGATATTTTAACCTTCCTTGGAAATTCATTGCCTTAAAAAAMCAAAAATAGTTCATTAAAACCTACAGTATAAAATGGTTGAAATTTCAGTTTCCAGCCTGGCAGTTATTAGGGTTCTTGAAATTGCATAAAAGTTCCTGAAGCTGAGAACTGCTACTTACTTTCACTGTTCTCTCCACAGAAAGCCAACTAAAACTATCCCAAAAGGTTSAGTGAGAAATATTCTAAAAACCACCCCATGCTTCTAATGGTCCTGAGAAAAATATCTGTATCATTTTCTAGGCTTCTAATTGCCCTATCATTTTCACCTACCACAGCTCCTTGCATATCATGCACTTGCTATATGTTTTCTCAATGGAAAAAACAGTAATAARATCATCAAGAAAAGATCAGTTCTCAAACACACATAAGCTATGTTTCATAGCTCACTGTAATCTTCCTCATGGAGATAAAACACAATTTTGTTAAAACACTAAAATGAATCATGAAATCACATGAAGAATGGAGAGTGCTATTAAAGAATAATTTTTAAAAACAAGAAATAAAGACAATTAAACAAGAAAAGATCAGTTAGTTGATTAAAACAATATCACCCCAGTGGATGATTCTGACATCAATTTGATAGCAGCTCAAGGCAGAATGTCTTTTGCACACAGACATTCCACCTCAAAAATAAATAATARTTAATCATGAGCATCAGTAATAGGAAACCTAAATCAAAGCACAACTCTAACACAGAGTAAGGAAAACTATCTTCAGATATACACTCATAAACACACACAAATCATTGTTTAGTAATGGTTAATTTAAGATTTGATTATCTGATTTAAATTCTCAAGAATTCACAAAAGATGCAATTTGTTTTATATTCTCTTTTCCTGTATTTATAGAGTGAACTGTTAAAGGATACAGTTAAGGAATAGACCACTTCCACTCTTGAGTATTCTGCCTAAGCTGATTCCTACTGTTATTCCACACAGGTGTTCAGACTACACAGTGAAACATCATCCCATGTCAGACATGAGTCTGCAATCATCAACATACAATCATTTTTCAGGTATGTAGAAAAGGACACAATATTCTTGTGTAGCAAGCATTAAACCCCAAGATGGTAAGCATTTTCTGATTAAAGAAAGGCTATTTAATTCTCTATGTCAAAACTGAAAAGCCCTAAAATAGCCAAAATACAAGGTTTCATGTTATTTCATTGAATTTTTATTATTAATTATTAATAATTGTTTTATTAAAGAACAGGATTTCTGAGTCACGGAAAATAGTCAAACTCTGAAATAATGATGTTAAAAAATTACTTTTCTTAAATTATTGAGTAAACTTTTCAGACTGAATTCAATTATGACCAAAGAAGGGCTTCAATGAACTTTTCTTTTGTATTTTTTATGCCTTCATAGAAAGAGTCAGTCTAAGATTTTGTACCATACCAGAAAACCAGATGAATTATCCAACAGACACCTTAGCCGGCATATGAAGCACCTCTCCATAAAGGAAGAGTTTTCTGGAGGAAGCTGCTCTGGGCTATAATAGACTCCTGGCTGTGTGAGGCCATGAGTTTCTGTAGAAATAAAAGCAACACAAATTTTATTTTCCATTTTGTTGTAAAATCAAATGTTTGAACAGTTATAATTCAYGTTAACATGTAAACTGAGTTTGTATTCTGAATTTAAAAAAATCATTTTCAGAAATAATTCTATTAGGAAAGTGCCTTCCCCCTCTTTCTAGTTAACCCAAACCTAACTTTAGAAACCTACCCTTCCCCAAATCATCTGACCCTCATCGTGAGCCATCTATGGGCTATGTGTGTGAGCTACGTGCACTTGAGCCTATGAGGGGACTGGTCTGGCACGATGCACTTTTGGGGGKGTGTGAAACATGTGTGCCTTTTTCTGTTGCTCTGCCTGTGATCCCACTCAGCACCTGATATGGGTGTGGCTTTCCAAGATGTCAATCAACCTGCTGACCACAAGACATCACCAAGCAAGACTCCACCCTKTGAAACCCAATCCCTTCCSTTATTTGGGTGGAATATTCTATGAATGGCTTTCCCCAATAAATAAGGGGGTTTCAGATGTGCTCTCTCTTGCCTCCCTTGCTTCCCTTGCCTTCCAGCATGGGAGCTGACATCTGAGTCCTCAGAACCGTCCCTGACCCCACAAAAGGTATTTCTGTGTTTGTGTGGTTTTTTATTTGCCAGTCCAGCCAGCTGGTGACAGACCCYTATAGCCCAACCAAGAATGTTAACCCTGCCCTTTGAAGAAGTGGCAGCAGTTGTTTCCACTAGAAGACGGTCTCCCCTTAAGAAACCCCTTGCAGATTTTCTATAGGTGCAGCACTCCACTCTCAGGGTGTCTACCTGGCAGTCTGCTCCAATTTAATCTTTTATTATATGCAGTGTGGTCTTTCTAGGCAGTTAACCTTACAGATTCAAAAAACCAAAAACTTATTTTAAAACATAGAACTTAATTTTTGTTTACATTTTTATTGAGCTATCACTGTTAACAATTTCCATATTTTAATGTCTTTTTTGTTTTCTTAACACTTTGACAGATTTCTGAAAAWACTGCTTGCATTAAGAAAGGCTTTTCTAAACATACATTGGAGAAAAGATAGCCTCTTCAACAAGTGGTGCTGGGAAAACTAGAAATCCATATGTAGTAGATTCAAACTGAACCCCTATATCTCATCCTCCACAAAACTCAACTCAAAGTGATCAAGGACCTTGGCATTAGACCAGAGACACTGTGCTTACTAGAAGAAAAAGGTAAAGGTTCAACTCTATCATGTCGGCTCAAGAATGGACTTCCTCAATAAGACTTCTAAGCACAAGAAGTAAAATCATCAATCAATAAATTGGACAGTATCAAACTAAAAAGCTTCTTCACAGCAAAGGAAATAATCAAGAACATGAAGAGAGCCTACAGAATGGGAGAAAATCTTCGGCACCTGCACCTCAGATAGAGCATGAATTTCCAAGATATATAAAAAACTCAAAAAAATTAACACCAAAAAAAATGCAATCAATAAATGGGCAAAGGAACTGAGCAGACACTTCACAGAAGAAGTACAAACGGTCAACAAATTTGAAAAAAAATGTTCAACGGCACTAGCAAATAGAGAAATGCAAATTAAAACTACACTAAGATTCCATCTCACTCTAGTCAGAATGGCAATTATGAAGAATATAAGTAACAAGTAATGTTGGTGAGGATGTGGAGAAAAGGGTACACTCACACATGGCTGGTGAGGCYGCAAATTKGTGTAACCACTCTGGAAAGCAGTATGGAGATTCCTTAGAAAACTTGGAATGGAACCACCATTTGACCCATTATCCCACTCCTGGGCATATACCCAAAGGACTTAAAGTTAGCATACTACAGTGATGCAACCACATAAATGTTTATAGTAATTCAATTCACAATACCTAACCTATGGAACCAACCTASTTGCCCTCCAACAGATGAATGGATAAAGAAAACATGGCATATATACACAGTGGAATATTACTCAACCATAAAGAAGAATGAAATTATGGCATTTGCATGTAAATATATGAAGCTGGAGACTATCATGCTAAGTGAAATAAGCGAGTTTCAAAAAACCAGATGCTGAATGTTCTGATATGTGGATGCTAACCCATAACAAGGAAGGGAGGGAGGGGAACTATAGAAGTTCACTGTATTAGACAAAGGGAAATGAAGGGAAGGGAAAGGGTATGTGAATAGAATAGACAGTAGAATGAATAGGACATAACTTTCCTAAGCTCATATATGAATAATTGACCAGTGTGATTCCACATCATGTATAACCACAAGCATAGAATCAAAATTGGATTGGACTGCATTCCATGTAGGGATAATTTTTGAAAATGCATCTTACTGCCATGTATTATCTAAAATCAACAAATAAAAAAATGATTAGACATATACCCAATGGAAATGCCTATCTATGTTTACCATGTAAAAGAATGTTTACAACAGCATTATGTGCAAACTGGAAACAATTCAAATATGTATAAATAATTAAAGAATAAATAAATAAATAAATAAAAGGCCTTTCTATATTTGCTTATGCTAGTTTACTTTTTATTTGGTGCATTTTAATCAGAACAATTTACACATACTCCATCTACAACTTTGTGCTTTCTTCTGATCTTTCATGATGTTTCCAGTTATTTTTATTAAAATGTTTTTATAAAATATATTGCACTCTTACATGAAACTCCTCAATGGCTCTCATCTGTCAAATATTCCSTAAAGCCCCAGTCTGTGACCTGGCTCTTGCCTGTAGCTACAGCTTCACCTCTTTTACTGTTGCTACCTTTAGCATGGAGTTCTTTACCCTAAAGGTTCCCAGCCTCCTGTCACAGAAACATTCAAAACCACCAACACCATCCTTTGGTAAATATTCTTACCATCAAGTCCTTGTCCAGCGTCTGTATGCTGAGAAGTGTTCAATGCCCAGTGCAGCTGACGTTGAAATTCAGCTCGGTCTTCAGTATGGATAAGTTCATACACGCTCTGATGTATTACATCAGACTGAAGAAAAAGGACAAAGAAATTAATCAACAGCACTGACTAGGAAATTATATGGCCTACAGAAGTAATTTCAAAACCTATTTAGTGGTGATGAATGTAAATAAAATGAWTGCCAAAGCTTCCTGTCATCCAAAGTAGGAAAAGCTGGAAAGAGAGACTAGCATGTAACTGATAAACTCAATGCTACCTGCCATCACTTTCCTCCATGAATGCTTTTTTTCAAATAGATCACCTCCCCATTCCTTAAATGTACAATATTAAGATCTGCTTTTGTTCTTTATCCACTTATTGATCTTTTACATCTGACTTCTTCCATGAATACTTCCATTAACACCCAGGTCTCTTTGACTTCTTTACTCTTAATAGTATTCGTTTTGTATTTCCTCCACTGTTCCCTAAAAGTTTTCTTAATATATTAAGTTTTTGATACAAGCAGACTCCGTTTGTGTAAAGGGATCATGTCTTTACCATATCACGTCCCTCATTCCTCTTGCCTCTCTGCATTTACATCAGTGCTGAGCTCCTTCCTTTAAATTAGTTTTCCTAGTTTTTTTTTTTTTTTTTTTTTTTTTTTTTTTAGTGCAATCATGGTATGATACATATCTGCCATCAGATACAGGATTACACACAAAACTTTCATGAAATAATTTTGTGTGTGATGATATTGTGTGCTCTATATTATTATTCCATTTCATTCTAAAAAAAAGGTTGGATAGTGATCTGATATATAAACTGCATTATTATCCATTAATGGGTCACAAGTAGCAACTTTAAAAATGGTGGCTTAAGGGGCTAGAGTCGTGGCATGTGTGAGGTCCTGGGTTAGATCCTCAGCCACCGCATATAAATAAATGATAAAAAAAATGATAAAGATCCATTGACAACTAAAAAATATTTTTGAAAAAATGGTGGCTTAATCTACCACATGTGTCTCAGGTACTGAAGTTTTCTTAAATCCAGGCAATGTGAATGCCTGAGAAGTTAAAATGGAACACAAGTTAAGAGTTTCTCAATTGATATGAATCATGATGTCAAATCACGGTTAATATGATTATGTAATTCATTAAGTTTTAAACAAACTTTTTTATGAACATTAATATATTTCTTTTAAAATCACAGAAAACTAAAATTTAGGTTTTGACAATAGCCAGATTCTATTGCTTTAGTCATTAAAATTTAAATCTCTCTAGGAACTTAATCTACTAGCATTAARTTGTCTCTATGCCATCCATTAGGCAATTGCCAGAATTATCACCTAAATTACAAATTAAAGCACACACATTCCTTTAAATAAAAATCTTTAGTCCATTGTGTTGATAATATAGAAAAAACCACAGTCTGTATAAGAACATTATATAGACAATGTTATTCAGTCCAGCAGTCTGTGAGAATGTCAGAWATGCAAACTGAATTAGAATATCTGGGAATGGAGCACAAAGATCTTATCAACTTCTTTAGGTGATTCTTGTGCACATGTAAGGTCTAGATACATAAGAACAGCAAGCATTTGAATATACTTACAATTTGTTCTCAAATCATACCAGATGTTCTTGTCCATTAAATATGCAAAATACTTTACAACTCCATTTATTCACCCTTCCTTTCAATGCTGTTAAATGAGCCAAATGTCGACTTCCTCCAATGACTTCCAGATTACTGCTTACAGTGCTTCTAATTCAGCTGGGTTCCCTTGTACAGCCATCTGATCACTACACATTTTTTAGTTTGGCTTCAATCCATTTCCTTTAGAGTATTTTCCATAATCCACATAAATCATAATTTATGTACAAACCATGACATTTTACATGTACCTTTTCACAGCACCTCACTAATTTCACAGTTGTCATATGTCTTCTGCGAACCATGTTATTTGATGGCAAATATTTTCTTTTTTGCTCCAATAAACTCTACTTGCCTTAAAGTTTGTTATATGAGATTACTGATTAGTGAAACAAGAAACACAATATCCACTAGTCATACAAAATTTCAGGATATCACAGTGCTATAAATTATTAGTATTAAAAATATTGGCTGCAAATATAGCATTTTATTTTTATACCATCTATATATTTTAATTGATATTTTATGTATGCAAATGGTTAACTCTGTCCCTGAACTGCAAAATATAAGCAGAAAGTTCATTTTCTTAAAAAGTAGTTTAAATAACAAAAATATACTTACTTGCTGAAAGCCCAGGTAATCTTGTATAGTAGAAGAAGCATAAAAGACCAAAGCATCTGTAGTGACAACCAGCACAAATCCATTCAGAGCCTACAAGGGAAAAATGTTGTAAAATTAGTAATGGAAATTTAAATTTTTATAAATACTGTCAGAGAAAGGCTATTATTTTATCTCTGAAAAATCTCTTCAAAATGATTAAAATTATATCTCACAAACATAGACATACCACATACCTTGGTAAAAGAAATTTATACTTCTGATTTGGCAGAGAAAAAAGAGCTCAATTTAAAGCTAAGCCCCAGAAACTTTAATTGGTTTCCTATTTTTCCTCATATTTYAGCTTTTCTGAAATTTAAATATGTCATACCTATCTTTTTTTTTAAACACAAAGTGTACAGAAATCATTCACTATTATCCATCACACTACTTTTTTTTAGAGAAAAACAGCAAGTAAAGATGCAGACTTTGGGATTTTTTTCAAGATGGGAGAATAGAGGAAGTTGCTTTCCTGGCTGTTCTGTGGAGTGAAACAAAGAAAGCAGATAGGCAACTACTTCTCAGCAACGTGGGTGAATGGAAAAAAAAAAAAAGTGGGGATGTTACTGGAATTTAAAACTGGACATTCAAAGCGGATCAGGGACTTAGGAGATTGAATATAATAAAACAGGGAAGAAAGCACCAGCACCAGCACCAGCTGCACAGCCACTGCTGCTGCTGGGCCAGAAGTACCAGCCAGAGCTGCCCTTCTCTGAGCAAAGTGGAGCCATACGGGAATTAAAGCAACCCACATTTTTAGGAGGCCTGAGGCGTGTCTGGGTACAGAGCAAGGATTCTGCCCAACTAAACTGAAAGGTGCGCTGCACAATATCCTTGTGCAGGAAAGAAGCCACCATCTCTCCAGGCAGCCAGTGAGGAACAAAGGAAGGACCCATTTTGCAGCCATGATGCAGGGGATGGTAGCTGAAGGAGCTGATTCCTGGCAAAACCGAGTTTGGCCTAAAATACAGGCCCAATAAACACACTGAACACCAAAGAGTATGATTAAGTGACCAGGAGAAAATCAAACACGGAGAGAGGTTTACACAGGAGAAAATTGATCGTGGAAACCCATCCAGCTATACCCCTCCCCCTCCAAYTTAGGTGCTTGCAGGACCAGCTGAGAGACACACCTCTGGTTGGGGATTTGGAAGGCTGCAAGTGGGAGAGAATGAGTTTGGAGACTGAACCCAAGACCAGGAAATGTGGGGGCTGCATGTGTCACAGGGGACTAGGAAATGGYTCCTCCACCAAATGAACAGAACCCAGGAGAAATCCCTGGGTTACAGACTTCCAGTGTGGACTAGCAATTACTGCACCCTGGAGGTGAGCTGATTTAAAATCTCCAGATCAATTGGCATTCATTAAAGAGCCTGGAGTCCACCTAAGCCTAAACCCTGCCTCTAGGAATTCCACCTACAGGATAATCTCTCCTACTCCAGTAATCTGGAGGGTGGAGCATCATGCTCCAGATGACCCCACCTAAAACTGCTGAGAAGCAGCTGAGAATCTCTTGAACTCCAACAGAAAGAATTCTTTAACTTTTCATCAAGAATTATTTTTTCTTTTTTTTCCCTTTTTTTCTCTGTTTAATTGTAATCTTAATGGTACACAGACATTTACACAGCCTCATATTTGTGTTCTCATTTCTAGCATTTTTGAAGCCAGTTATGTTTCATAGATCAGTTTTTTGAGGACTAGAATATTTGATTAGTATATTTTAGGTGTTTTTTTTGTATTCTTTTATTTTTGTTTTAAATTTTAAAAAATTATTACTTTTTATATATTTTTTCTCTTACCTATTTCCCTTGGTTCTCTCTCTTTTCTTCTGCTAACACCCAATCTCTATTGTCCTCTCTTTCACTCTCCTTTTAATTTTTTACTTCCATCTTCTTTCCTCCCTCATAATCATCACATCCTATATCATTTCTGCTCTCTCCCTATGCACCATTCAAAATTGTAAACCCTTTTGCAAACTTACTGTTTTTATTATTGGCAATARCTGATCAGATCATTTATGTTTATTGTATAATTARCATTGTAGACATCATAGGAAGAACTATTTGGTTTAATGTTGATTAGTTGTTGCTATTATTTGTYTCCCCCTTAACAGTGAAGGACTGGAAAACTTCAGGGACACTATAAGTCCACAGGGTAGAATTTCTGACACCTCAGATCCATACTGTAAAATGGGTAGACACACAAACAGAATGAAAAAGCAAAGGAACATAATAAAAAAAAAGTTATTTTATTATTTCATTTTGTTCCATACAAAATAGTAGTAATTTAAGCTAATCTAGAAAGTAAAATATTTAAATTTTTCTTTATTTGTCTTTATTAAAAACAAAGGAAAAGATTTCTAATCCAAAATTTCAGGCCATTTGGTATACTGCACCTCTGGTACTCTCCTTCACATTTTAGTGATTACTAGCTCATAACTACAGGTTGAAAATAAGAAGCAKATGGCTTTATGATAACTATATATATGAAATATGCTATTTTCTCATGTCTTCAATGTTTTCATTCATTTTCTTCACAGAGAGAACAGACAMGCATGGCCCTAATCAAATCACAGTGTGTGATGCTTCCTACTGACCAGCAGTTGAAAAATGGTATCAAACACAGTCTGTAATGGGTGGGCTTATTTTAACGATGGAAGCTTTCCTATTTTAGGTAACAAACACATAGATTTCTAGCTTTGCATTAATATTATTCTTATTTATTATGTTTCATTGGTATAAGATATATCATACAGTTTGAATCATAATTTAAACCAATTTAACAACTGTTGTATTAATTAGTCCATATTTTCACTTGAAATAAAGAACTTCATTATCACCTTACTATATAACCGTAAATGTGTTATATCACATTAAGTGGCAATTATTGGAAGGTTTCCCTGTGACCTGAATAAAGAGTATATATTTTAGCTAACGTAAACACAAAGATTCTCAGCTGGGTGTTGAGAGAGGAATTATGTTTGAATATTTTCAATTTACTTAACATAATGGAAGCAGAGTTAATTTTTGCTATCAGCAATTTGGGCACAATTATAGAATAGTAATAAAACATTACCCATTATTAGGCTATACTGCAGCATTCAATGAATGAATTTATAGAATTACCAAAACTTTTGGCAGCTTTTTGTTACAATAGTAAATTGAGTTCTTCCATTCGGTTCACTATATGGAAGTATAAATTATCATGTAATGGTGACAATTAGACATGGCACATAGCTCCATTCTATCTTCAACGAAATAAATATCTGAGAATGCTAAATGAGAATCTAGCATACTCTCAGTTCTAAGAAAAAGAAACTACATTTAAAAAAATCTATTTAAAATACTTTTACAGACGGATCTATCAGAAACTCTCCCAGATCTAAAGCATAGAAAGAAGGCTTGCAGTTGTTGAGAAAAATCTATGTAACATATTAAGAAGCCACATACATTTGCTAAAACTAAATGTAAATTATAAGATAATATATTTAAAAACATAAAATTTGTGTTAAGAATAATTTTTAAATTTTAAGTAAATATAGTTAACTATTTTAATTGAGCCACATTCCTGAAAAAAGTGCTTATAAATCCAATGTCTTAAGTGAAAATCTTTAAAATAAGCTAGAGTTCTTCCTATTTGTAGAAACCTAACAGAGGGTGATTAGAGGGTGACCTCTAATTAATCTACTTCACATGATTCCATTTGGTCACATTCACACTACTGTTGCAATTCAGATGAAAGTGGCAGAGAGCACCAGCCAAGTACTACATGAGCTAGGAATCAATAAAGATTAATTGGTTAATCTTGCATTTTCAATTGCTTTTATTTTAAGATACTGTATTTACCTGTAATAAGAATTCTCCTTCTTGCAAGTTCAGGCCTTCTCTGAATTTTCCTCTACTGCTATCCTGGCTTCCATTTCTGTCAGTGGGAGAGGATTTTAATGCAACTGTAGGAAAAAAAAAATGACATAGTAGGTAGATTTTAAAATAATCACTATTAAAAGTTGTAACAGAAAACTTCTGAACACCAAAGAGACAATTTGAAATACTGGTGTCTACAGACACAATCATRATGTAAATAAACCTTTTCACAATGCATGATTTCCAATTCTATGCTCATAACAAAACTGAAGGAGCTAATCAAATTGTCAGCAAGTTGACAGACTGTTTAARAATAGTTTTTCACGAACTTATTCTATATGATTTTTACCATACAACTTAGAAGTTCCAAAGAACTGCATGATGCTGCCGTAAGTACTCTCTTCCTGCCCTTGGTCCATTCCTATTCACTTATATTTATGAGACTAAATTTCCACAGACTGTAACCTATAAAAATGATTTTAACATCTAAATATCAGGGAAGTAGTGGCAGTGAGGATAAAGAATCAACCATCTCTTATTAGGAGATGCATCTCTAAGTAAAGTTTTGAATCCACTAGTCTAGTTTTGGGGTAAAAACTATTAACATTGTTATTAGCTTCRTGTTATATTCATAAATCAACTCATGGAACAATCATATATGAAGGGAAGACTGATGGCATAGAGAAGGCAGCATGTTATAATGCTCTCTTGCTCTGTGTGTGTGTGTGTGTGTGTGTGTATGTGTGTGTAGGGGGCATTTGTTTGGAAAGCAACACAGCTGAACAGAGATAATAATTATAACTACCATTCTACCAAACATTTTCAAGTATGATCTCATTTAAAAGCACATGACTATTGGTATCTGATGAGCACATATCTTAGCTCTGCTATTTACTAAGTGTGTAAGCTCTTTGAGGATGTTTCCTAAAACAAGTGGTCATTTTTTAAAAAGTCCATCCTATACGGTTTTGGGGAGGAGAAATAATAATATGTGAGGTTCTTGATATATAGTTGATCAACAGTTCAGTAAATTGTAGCTTTAATTATTAGTATTTCCTGGTGCTTAACAGTCATCTTATTATAAAGCATAATCTTTTAAGTACTTCAAATTTTTATCTTTCCATTTTTCTGACTCTTTTGTAAACTGTGACATTTAAATAAAAGAAACCATTAAACAAAACCACCTTGGCAGTTCTCTGAAGACTCCTTATTTCATTAGATCTTTATATGCCAAAAGAGTTTGGCTCAGTGAAAAGCTCGATTTACTAATAGCAAGGKTTTTCTCTCAGTTTCAGCAAATCATCACACAAAGTATTTTCATGTTTGCAGTGTATTTTYTGATAAATCAATGCATGTGTCATACAAGAATCTTAGGCCAAGTTCTTGCCTTTGCTGAAGTTGAAAGACATCTCACTGAAAGAAGAGACCAGAGCTTGGCCTCTGAATGTAACAATTYTGAAAAGGCCAGAGAACAGATTTCCTTAGGCCAAAAAATTGGTTGAACTAAACTGATCTAACAATCAATCAAGACCAAAGGAAATACTTAAACTTTTCTCCCTGAAAGGTAGTAGAGAGAATGGCTTTTCTCCCCTTTCTGTTCTGTAAGTTACATCGTTATTGTTGTTTCTTGCTTTATAATGGCCAAATTTGCTTGAATGTACTAAAACTTTACAATGCYGTTAACTAAACTCAGTTCCTTTTCCAGATGCTCTAGTATGGGGCATGATTTAAAGTCACACCAAATAGGACATATTGTTAAAGAGAAAATAACAAAACCCACCCAAACCTTCACATACAAAATCAGCCTTAAAATGGACAGATGATAATTGCCAAATTTAAATRGCTAGAGCAATAGGAATATCTTAAAATAATTTTTTAAAAAAAACTTTCTTCTTTTTTTTCTTTTTTTAGCGAGAGAGATAATTTTTTAATATTTATTTTCTAGTTATCGGCGGACACAACATCTTTGTTTGTATGTGGTGCTGAGGATCGAACCCGGGCCGCACACATGCCAGGAGAGCGCGCTACCCCTTGAGCCACATCCCCAGGCCTTAAAATAATTTTTAACCAATGGAATTGATGTCAGTTCCAAGTAGAGTTACTGATAGGAGACAACAACAGATAAACATTGGGAGATGACTTCTTGACCACTGAGAACCTGAATAAGAAATTAAAGAGACTATTTACCTCAGAGTAACTTACAATTTGTTTTGGGGCTTGTACTAAGGTATTTGTTAATGGAATTAGATGTGAGACCCTTTAAGAAGGACATATAAGCTAAGGAAATGAAGAACTAGAAAAGAATGCTAAAAATATTAAGTGCTAGAATGGGATTTAAGTAAAATGTTATGAGAACTTATGGGTGAAAAAAATAATAGGATCAAATTTTCTCTAAATAATTCTTAAAATTCTAAATGTTGAAAGGGTAATATTTACTACAGTACTATTTAATTAATATAACAATATAATAATTCTTATAATTCTAAATACTGAAAGGGCAATACACACACACATACACATACACACACACACACACACACACACACACACACACACACACACATATACAGAGCTTAAGTAGGAAAAATGACCACAAGAAATAGATGAATTCTAGATAGGGCAGAGGGGTGGGAGGGGAAAGGAGGGTGCAGGGGGTTAGTAATGATGGTGGAATGTGATAGAAATCATTATCCAAAGTACATGTATGAAGACATGAATTGGTGTCAACAACTTCATATACAGAGATACAAAAAAATTGTGCTCTATATGTGTAACAAGAATTGYAAAGCATTGCACTGTCAATTATTTAAAAAATAAAATCAATAATAAAATAAATAAGAATTATTAAAAAAAAGAAAAAAGAAAAGTGACCACAAGTGTATATAAATGCATTTGGGAATCATCATTGATAAGTTATACCAAAAAACACACAAATAAGTATTTCTGYTGTTCCTGTTAGTCATCAGTAAAGGCTTTAAGTAAATATGTGTAAAGATGAGTTCAGGAAGGGTGCCCTCCCTTGACAGTTCCATCTAAAAGACACTACTGTGACATTTTAGGAAACTGCGCTGGCTGCTCCACCAGATTATGCAATTTTTACCCTTCCATAAACTTTCCCCTCATGTTCTTGAGCTCATACCTACTACTCTCCCTTCTTAAATCATCAAAAGCTATATTAATTAATACCAGTCACTTTCATGTATGTATTGGTTGCCTTGATTGTAAAGCAACGGAAGAGTAAGATGGTGACAGCACTATTTCTGACCATCAGAGTGACTTTAAATTTATTACTTAATAGCAATAAATGACACCAAGCACATACTCTATGCCCAGTACTTATGTTTTATTTAATTATTAATGCCTTATGATGCTGGCATTGTTTTATTGGAATATGTTAGGAAATCGAGACTTAGGGAAATTTAAGATCTTTTCCAGATTCTTAAACAGAGTTTTAAGTGGTASAGCCTGGACAAAATCCCAGGTAGCCTGACCCCTGTGTGTGTGGTGGTTTTTCAACTTCCTGCCAGAGAGAGATAATGAACTCTAAACTGAGTTTACATACTCTGAAACCATCATGGAAAACTTATAATAAATTGCACATCAGTGGGGTCTCGATTTAACTGAGTACTTTCTCATCTCATAGGACTGCTATGATGACTGACTATGAGATACAAATTTGAAAGTACTTCATTCAAAACTGCAAACCATTATATAAATCATATGCCTAATAGGATATATAACACAATTTAAACAGTACACCACTGAAATTAAATGTATGACAGTTCACATGAATAGAATATAACATCAGAAATCAAGTCATTAGCTAATTCTACTACTTGGGAAGCATCTGTTGTACTGTCACAGACATTTATTAAAATGTTCCCCATTAGTGAGATATGTGCAACCTTCCCAAGCAAAAGGAATACAGATACAATGAAATGCCAAGAAATTTCAACTATTTCCTCATTGAGAGGTCTCCAAAGGAATTACAAAATACAAATAGGAATTAAATCTAATCGATGATGGAATTTAGAATATAAATATATTATAGCATTAACAAATACATCATGTTCCAAATGATTAMAGTCTTATTCCTACATGCATTTAGTCATTTCCATGTTTCTTAATATACTACTTTCCTTCCTTATACATCTAGGTTCAGATGTCCATCTCCTGATAAGCCAAATACTTTCTCTTAAAAAAATATGCTTTGAATTGTTCAAAAAAGAAAATTCATGAGGAAGAAATATTGGTTTGTGGTAGATATATTTGTATTTTGTTATTATAGTTTGCATTTAAACAGAAAGATTCCATGATAAATTTTGCCAAGGAAAAGCATATGCCCTTTAAGTCCCTATTCACTGCTACAAATTCAATTCATTTTACAATAATATTTGTCATTCCTATTATTACTTTGACAGGGAAAATTAAATTCCATTCCCACGTTGATAGAAGAATAAAAGAGAGCAAAACAATGACTAATTATAAAATTCAACMTACCACATAAACTTTTATACAAGAGAAAAGGTTAAGTACTGTTGTCTTTTTAGCAAATCTAAAAAATAACCACTATTTTCATTCTGAAAAAGTACCTATACAAACAGAGATATGAAAAATTGTTGTATATATGTGTATTAAGAATTGTAAGGCAAAAAAAGAGTACATGTATAATGGCATAATTTGGCATGAACATACTTTATATACAGAGTTATGAAAACTTGTGCTATAAATGGGTAATAAAGAGCRGAATGCATTCCACTATTGTCATGTATGTAAAAAAAAAAAGGCCTATTACAACTCTCAAGTGAAAACTGACTTTCAAAAATGTTACTTTAATATTYCTCCAGTTTCATATTCAGTTATATACAATTCCTCTGTAACTTGTTATGCCTCTGCATTAATGGAACCAATAAGATTAGTTAATTTAGCTTTTCAGTATGGGAATGAGTTGTATTTAACTTTTCACATATAGAAAAGCAGAATTCAAACTGCACTTTAACTAACATAATATAACTAATCATTTAGAACAGTGATTCTTAAACTTTGCAAGGCATCAGAGTTACCTGGAAAGCTTATTAAAATATGT